AAAAAACATCTTCAAGTTCTTAGAGGTTTGGTCCAGATCAGTTCTGAGTCAGATCGTCTGAAGCTTTCTGGTGTGCAGTCGGATGTTTCAGCGTCTGAAGAAATAAGTTTAGATCCAAACCCACAGTCTGAAAGCAGCAACGTTAGCCAAGTTCTGGAAGGTCGGCTGGGCCTCGCTGCTGGAGGTTCAGACTGGAAGAGTAGAGAAGAAGAAGAAGAAGAAGAAGAAGAAGAAGAAGAAGAAGAAGAAGAAGAAGAAGAAGAAGAAGAAGAAGAAGAAGAAGAGTTTGGAGGTTTAAAGGCAGACAAACTTCACTGAAACACTTTCTGCTTTGGTAAGGAGAGCAGGAGGCTCTCAGGAGGTCATCTTAGAAACATTCATGTGAATCAAGGTTTCAGTTTTATCTCCAATAAAAGAAGATGTTTATCAGCTTCATCAGTGTTTTTCAAAGACAGTTCTGTTGGAGGAGTTTAACGTCTGTGTTTTTTTAATATTTATAGTTTATTTGTTGTTGGAATGAATCCACCAAATAAAAGCCTAACCTCCAGCTGGACATCCACTCAGACGGGAGGCGGTTCCTCAGGTAAACGAGCTCATCGTTCTGCTCTGTCTGTAATTAGAGGTTTACAGGAAGAGGAACTATAGCTGGAAGAGGAAACCTGGGATTCTGGTCACATGGGCACAACATGGACGGTTTAAATCTGCTCGTGAAGACAAACTGTCCTCGGAACAGAAGTCAGCTCTGACCTGCTCCTTCTGGATCGGATTCTATGAAACACGTTCAGAACTCCACGTTTGGAGCGCTGCTGAAGAAACGAAGCTTCAAAATGCTAATGAAGTGTTTCTGCCTTTGCATCTGTCGCTGGACAACAAATTATCAGTTGAAAGATGAAACACTGAGCGGATTAAAGTTGGATTCACTCTGACTGGACTTCCTGATAAATCCTGACCAGTTCAACACAGTGGTCGTCATGGAGCTCCACTTCATTCAATATTAACTCATTAATTAATTTAAAAAAATAAACATTCCAGTGAAATTGCTAAATATGAAATAAACAACAGTAGGCCTTTGAAAAAGAGAAAGAAACATCATTTTTATTATTTATAATATTTTTTATTTAAAAAGCAGATGATCTAAATTCTAGCATTCATTCATTTATTTATGTTTTTGCCACATTTATTGTTTTCAGGATTGATTTTGTCGCCACAATGAATATGATTCACAGGAATATTTATTATCTAGTTGATCATTTTAATTATTCTAACGTGATCGTTTTGTTGGATTGATAAATAACGTTTTTTGTGATAAATTAAACAAAAAACAGAAAACTTTCCTAAATCCCCTCAAAAGGCTCCACGAACAGCAGAATTCCTTAAACAGGCTTTTCTTTGTTTTCTTCACTTTCTTTTAAGCCTTTCATGTGAGTTTGATTGATTTTATTCTGTTCTGGCAAAATATCTTCTATAAAACCGAAACGTTAATAAAACACCATTTTTTTCTTTAAATGAATAAAATACTGACTTTTAAACGTCAGACCTGCAGCTGGTTTATCTGTGAGGCTCAACGGCGCCACCGCGTGGACGAAACCCGACAAACACAAACGGACAGGAACTGGGTTTATGTCACTTTTATTTAAAATGAAGCTTTGCGATAATATTTCTTCCACACTGCTTTCTGGTTTTGCATGATAATAATAAAAAACAAGTCTGTATATCGACAACAACAATCTTTATAAACTCTCGTGAAGAAAAAAAAAATGCTACAGCTCCTCAAAAAACAAAATAAATTACATGTTTCTTTAGATAATAGATAAATTACTATCCTGGTTTTTTTTGTTTATATATAAAATGTAATTCTTACTACAGAGGATTAGAGATCATTCGCACGCACATGCACACGCCGAGCATCCAGATGGTGACAGGAGCTAAATGAGAGTAAATGCCATCTACAACAACACTATGAGGAACGTAAGCGCCGACTAGACATTAAAACATATCTGACAAATATACAGACTCCTCACCTGCCGCTGGCGTTCAGGTGGGAGGTTGGGGGGAGGAAACACGAGCGTCTGACAGACACAGGTTCATACGTTCACCTTCAGGTGGAAGCAGACCGACAACAAAAGACTAAGAAAGCAGCTTCCTCCTCCAGGGTTTCTGGTTTTTAGGTCTAACAGGACACGTGGACGTCGCTCCCAACCAGGCAGCAGCTTCTCTATTAAATCGTCTTAACTGCAAAATCAAGTCGCGCTTTTTTCTTGAAGTTTTTTTGAACTGATCAGGTGTTCTGTCTGGAAGATTAACCACATATGAGCCTAAAATGTTGACATGTCATTATAAAAATTAAACCGTTTATACGAAACAGATTCTGTAAAAACTACAAACTCGGAGCTTCCTGGTGATTCTGTCACGGACTCAACAGGAAGTGTTTCCACGGAGCAGATCCAGAGAACGTGGGGGCGTAAAGATGTTTTCTAACTGCCATGCTTGTAAAGTGAACAAGCTGCTCACGGTTGGAGGCTGTATTCTGTGTTTTTCTCCTACCAAAGCCTCACTGAGCTACTTCTGCTCCGTGTTTTACCCTCCGAGCACCAAAAACCCACTCATGGGCAGGAAGGCATGTTTTCTTTTTAAAGTAGCCAGAATGGATCCATTTAACAGCCGGAAACTGAAAAAAGCAGAAGTTTTCTGACAGTCCTTGAATGCATCGCGTGTGGTTCAATCTGAGCTTCAGATCAAGATTTTAAAAAAATCTAAATCACTTTATTCTACAAAACAAGAGGCCGCTTCACGTTAACTTCAAACCACAAACCACAGATCCAGTCATCTCTAATCAGGCCTCCTTCTGTCTGAGAAGCTGCCGGTTTGAACTCAGCTGCTGTGGAAACCTGCTGCCTTCAACATCTAAGTCCTACAGTCTGTGTGGGAAATGGCCACTTCCTCACTGCATCAGATGTTCTGGATGCTTTTGTAACTTCATCCTGGAGAAAAGCTCAAGACCTGAGAAGCCACTTTAAAAGTTTAATATCTTTGTGCTCCGACTAATGGATCCACTTCAACAAACGTCTCCTGTTTTATCGCTAAGACTTTAGTATTTCTACCTTTTCCTGCTGTGATGTAGAGCGCCTGCTGTGTGAACGCTGCCACACAAACACCAGAACAGACACTAAAGGCTGCAGATGCTCGTTCTGGGAGCATCTTTCTAATAACAGCTGGTTTGGCCGTCGCTCAGTCCAAGCTCTTCCTCCACCTCGTTTTCACTGCCAGACTTCAATTTAATCGAATGTTTTTAGTCTTTTTTAGTTGAACCAGGCAGCAGATGCTCAGGAGACACCTGCCTCCATGTCAGCTAGCTTCTTGGTGGGAGGCGTCTTGTGTCCGTCGTCCCACCGGATGTATTTGGTCACTAACTGCCCCCCGACTCCTTTGGTTCTTCTGTCCGCATACCGAAGAAGAGGACACTTGAGGAAATATGTTTTTGGCAAACAGAGAAAGACAAACGACACAAAGATAAAATCCTTCTTGGCTGGAGAAGCCTCAGCGGGGACCGATCTATTCCAGTAGATCTTCAGCTCTACGGTCTATCTAAACCTTTAATTAGTGGTTTGCACCAGTTTCAGGAGGAATCTGAGCGTCCTCGGCGAGCGCCTCCATCAAAACCCGTCCAGTCACAGAAATGAGCCTCCGAGAGCGGAAGAGATGGCGCCGTGGAGCTGCTCGGAGCGGAGCAGCTCAGTGGGAGGTGTGGCTCTGAGGAGGTTCTGCTGCAGGAACCAGGAGGAAACGACATCTGCAGGAATCGACCGGTCCAGTGTTCTGCTTCCGACGCACCAGCATTCGTATCGGCAGCCTCGGCGCCCTACTGGTGGCGTGGCTCCTAACACGCCTGATAAGGTTCTTCAAAGGGGTTCTGGTAGATTAATGGTATCAGCTGGACCTGCTTGAGTTCCTTGAAGACGTTCCACCTTCATCCAAGAGGCTTCATCAGCTCTGACTAGTTGGGAGTTCCAGGTCCTGATATCCTGAAGGAGCCATTAACACCTGAGTTTGGGTTTCAGCTGGAGGTTTGTGGCTCCTCCTCCTCGTTATGTCGAAACTCAGGTGTTCATGTCTCCTTCAGGATATCAGTATGTGGAACTCCCAACCAGTCAGTCAGAGCTGATGAAGCCTCCTGGATGGAGGTGGAACGTCTTCAAGGAACTCAAGCAGGTCCAGTTGTTATGATTAATCTACCAGAAGAACCAGGACCTGGAGGACTGAGGGTCTTCACAGACATTTCTTTAAAGGTTTTCATAGACACACTTGTACGTCTGATTCTTCTTCTAGATTTTAGATTTGCACATCTCCTGCTGAACTTTTGAAGCGTTGTCTGGTTCTGTGAATGACGGCTTGCTGTCAGGAACCGGAGGAACCATGAGTTGGATCTACTGACGACGAACATTAAAGTTTGTATTCTGACGTTAGTATGAAGAGTTCAGGTGGGGACTGAACTGAACAGGTATCTGCCAACGCCGGACAACACCTGAAAGAGGTTCTACAGGTGATCTCATGGAACCAACAGCACACCGGTTCTGACCCACTGAGCTCCATTTGGACGCTGTTTGTGTTTTTTAATATATATTTAAATACCAACGAGATGGTAATTTGTCATAAATACATCAAGGATTCAGAGTTCAGGTGGGACTGACGCGGGCCGGTACCTGTCTACAGGTGTGTATACGTCTGACGAGCCTGAAAGAGGTTCTACAGGAACAACGTGATCCTGGAAGTAGGTACCAGCGCAGTTCTGGGACACTTCACGTGACGTTTCTGTTTTTCTTGCTTTCGGGTGTCAGTTTACGGCTTTAAAATAAGATGAAGACGGCAGGTTGTCATCCAGACATCCAGACATCCAGCGTTCAGGGTTCTGGGTTCAGGGTTCAGGGTTCTGGTGGGGACTGAACTGAGCAGCTACCTTCCTCCAGATACTTGCATCTCTACCAGTCCTGGAGTCTGAACTTTTTTCTCGCCTCTGCAGGGAAAACGTGAAACAGTCCAGGGCGGGCTGGTGTCACGGCCACCAGCCGCCTGTACCGGGTTCTTTACAGTGTTTGAGGTCCTTCAATACACAGCGAGCAATAAAACACTGAATGCAGAAAAGGCGTTCTGCAAACACGTGACTTCTTGTGTCAGAATCGGGCTGACTGGGTCGGTTCCTGCAGTCAGAACATGATCAGAAGTTCCCTCAAAGCTCCTGCAGCAGAACCGGTCTGATGAGTGGATGTGTTCAGAGTTCTGCTTTCACAGTGTGGTACCTGAAGGATCAGGAGGAAATAGCTAAATGTAAAGTGGACGCCATCGCGTGTCTACTCTGGGCGGTCCATTCCTACGCCCTCCTCAGCCCTCCTGGACCCATCCTGGGCTGCCCGGTGCTCCCGGTCAGTGCCTCTTGGCCCGCTGGGCGCTCTGGGTGCAGGAGGCGCAGCAGGCGGCCTTGTAGTAGGAGTAGACGCAGAGCCGGGCCTGGACCACCATCACACAGTTGTGACGTCTGTCCCGGCAGTTCTCATCTGTGAGCAGACAGAAGCAGGACGGCACACATGAACCGGTTCTGTTCGGACTTTAAATATGATGCATGAAGCAACAGAAATAAACACTGAAGCCTGGAGTGAAAAAAAAAAAAATAAAATCCCCAAAGTGAAACCGTTGATCAGCCAGAAACCATAAAACTGAAAAATCACCAGGTTCTTAAGTTTCAGACGGTCCTTGAACTAAACATCAAACCTGAGCTTAAAATCCTGATGTTTAATCAGAACCACGTGGTTCTACTCAAACCTGTGAGTCTGTAATAAACCCACTCACATGGAAACCGTAGAAGATCTTTGGTCTGTAGAGGCGCCGTTTGTCCTCCAGTCTGGACACGGAGACACGTTGGACGCGTTCACTCCAGTTTTTACATTTTTTCAATAAAATTTAGGAAATTCAACTTTCAATTTTTCATTTTTTATGGTTTGTGGCGTTCTAACAGGCGACTAAACCATCAGTGGTTTTAAAACATGTTACCTTCATAGAAATCACCAAACCGACTCCATCTACCACCAGACTCACACACACAGACTCTGCTTTGGGTTTTACCTTGTCCACGGTCCTTGAATGCATCACAAGTGATGAGGAAGTGATGAACCAAACCGGAGCTTAAGGTCTGGATGTTTAATCAGAATCGCTTCATTCAACATATCTGTTCAAAAATGTGTAAAATGTGTGTGTGTGTGTGTGTGTGTGTGTGTACGTAGGCAGTGTTTCCTCAGAGAGCCTGAGAGGAACATCCAGCCTCCTGGATCAATGACTACATGCAGAATGGATCAGAACCAGAGACCAGAGGAGCCAGCTGGTGGAGATATAAAAACGTGTCTTTACTAAATAAAAGCTCATAAACTGTTAAATTTATGAGCTTTGTTCATATAAAACAGCTGCAGAGTGAAACACTGATGAATGGAGTTAATGTAACGTCGTCGTTCTTTAGTTCTTTTTCATCTAATTTGGCAGAAGTGCAGGAGAGAAGTTTGATGACTTTTTTTTTTTTGAGTGTTTCTGTTCTCAGCCTCCAGACTGACCAACAGCTTCATGCCACCAGCTGCTGACCCAGATGTTTATTGAGCTGCTTCTAGTTTTTGGATCCTGTAGAAAGGCTCTCTCATCTTGTTTGTGCTGCTGTTGAATGTACAGCAACATGAGGATCAACTGGATTTAAGTGTTTCTAATGCGATGCTTAAACTCTGCATGAGAACAGAACACGCTGCCGCCGCCTACCTGCCACCTGTGGGCTGCAGGGGATGGTGTTGCAGGTCTGGTCCTGCTCCGGTTTGGTGTCGGGGTCACACTCGGGGCTGTGCTTCTTCTCCGCGGTCAGACACCGAACCTCCCTCATCTGCAGACCTTGACCACACGAGCGTGAGCACTGAGGACGAACCACAGAGAGAGGAAGTGAGGAGGCGTGGCCTGTAGGCGTCCTGTGGTCGACACTCTGAGCGTGTCCGGGCCTCACCGCGCTCCACTCGGTGGTGAACCACTGCGGCCGACACTCCCCCATCTCACACTCCTGCACCGCGGCAGGTTTGTCCAGGTGAGCGCACTCAGCGGCCGGTACGACCGTGAAATCGTTCCCCAGCTTCTGGACACAGATGATGTCTCGTCGCTGAGTTCCTTCACCACACGGGACGTTACACTGAAACAAAGAGCACAGCTCAGCCAGCTGTCTGACACACATCACACCATGAAGCGACCGGAACCACATCCCGACAGAACCAAGTGAGCCGGTCCACAGCAGCTCGGTACCTGAGTCCAGGCGCTGCTGTACCACAGCGTGGTGGGCACACAGGGGCCTCCGTTGCAGGCCTTCATCTCTGCCGGCTTGTCCCCGACACAGTCGCCTCCTCCTCCGCCCTCCCGGACGCCTCCTCTGGTCAGACACACCACCTCCCTCTTCTGCACCCCCGGACCGCACTGGGCCGAACACTGGAACCACACAACGGGTCATGAGGCGCTGCTGGTTCATCAGTCGGTCAAAGTGTGACTCTGACGCCAAAGCATGTAGAATATAGAATAATGCAGTAACAGGATGAATCAGAACCAACAGCAGCCTGTCAAGGGTCCCGCTGTGAGCTGCTGCTGGTTCTGATCCGTCCCGTCTGCATGTCGGGGATCATTTATTAGAGATTTTAATAAAGAGTGAAGTAAGAATCTCAGAGGAAACAGAAACAGTCACTGTGATGTAGAGACGAGGAGGTTCGACCCGACTGGACTCATTTATGATCAGTAGAACATAATGAAGGTCCAGACCCAGCTCATGAGGATCCTGGTGCTGGTTGGTGCTGCAGGATTCAACCAGCTCAGAGGAAACGCTTCTAAACCAACTTTAGCTCAACTTATGGGGAAAATACCTGCTGAGCATCACAAACAGTTTAGTTTAGTTTGACTTGTTTAAAAACTCGACGCTCTAAGAACCAAACCGGACCAACATCAGCTGGTAAACTTTTGGTTTTGTGTTTTCTGTGCAGAGCTGGACTAACACGTTCTCATGCAGTTAGTAGAGTCACTCCTTCATGTTTTACTGCTGCAGGTCTGATCATTGTGTACATGTTGTGCAGCAGTGAGCAGGAACAGAGGTCTGGGTTCACAAGCCGCCCACTGAGCTCCTCTGTGGAGGTTCTGAGGAAACACTGGAGCTGAAATCCGTCTGTCCATCCGTCACACGCCTCCCGGTCCCCTTACATTCACTACCTGTGCAGCTCAGAGCTGTGCTGAAGGTGAGCCTGACCCGTCACATTAACGGGACCAAGGGGGCGTTCAGAGGGAGTTCTGGTGCTGCTACTCACGGTGTTGGACCAGCCGGTGAAGTACCAGTTGGTCACACAGGGTCCCATGTTGCACTCCTCGTCTCCCTGTGGGCGGAGCCTGGAGTTGCACTCCTGGTCGTTGACCACGCTGCCCTGGTCGCTGATGCAGCGGACGCTCCTCGTCCTCCTGCCCACGCCGCAGTCCACCGAGCACTGGGACGGAGAAACCAGAGTTAGACCAGAACCCTGCTGTGATCCATTCACCGCTCATGTGATCCCACAGCGGTGCAGAAGTCACACAGAAGGACAAAGACGAGATGAAAGCAGCTCCTCTGAACCCAAACCACTGGTTCTGATGTGTTCTCATGAGGTGTTCAATGTTTTCGTTGTTCTGGTGCAACATTCCAGCTCCGTGTTCGGTACTGAATCATGTGTGGTACTGTACTACTTCTTTTTTTTAAATAAAGATTTATTTTTGGGCTTTTCCGCCTTTAATGATAGTTGACAGTGACAGACAGACAGAGGAACGTGATGCAGGAAACGAGCCGCTGGCTGGAACCGAACCGCGGCCGCTGTGTCGGGGATTAAAGCCCTGGACTCGGGTCGCCCGCCCGACCCGCCCGACCCGCCGAGCTATCCAGGCGCCCTGCCAGGAGTGTTTCAGGAAAAACAGTGAAAGTCAAAGTCAGGCACCGTCTTCTGGTTCTTTGTATGTAACATGTGATCCAGAGCACACGGCGCCGCATGTTCGGACCTGGTGCCTGAGCCGTGGACTAGAACCATCCGGAGGAGTTTATTCTCTGTGTTGGAACACGTTAGATGTCACATATCAGTTAACTTTATTCTCTCTGTCGTTGTTCTGTGTAGTTTTATACGACTGAAGAGGAAAACAAACTCATGGAAGAAGAAATGAGTGAAGTGTGACGGTCTAAAGAAACGTGACTTCCTGTGTCGACTTCCTGTCCAGTGAGGGCAGCACATCTGTTCCAGTCCTGTTTAGCTCATTCAGCTCATGTTCTGGTGTCTTCTGCTTTGCTCTGCACTTCTCATGTCATGCACTTTTGTTCTGGGATTAATAAAGTTCTGTCTCATCCTATCTTCTGGAGGCTCTTTAACCTTCTGAGGCTACTTTCATAAAACCTGGTTTCCCTCCTTGTTACTTCTAAGCTCCTGTCCAGGACTCCTGCTGGGTCTGGTTGGACTCTGAACGTCCAGATCTTTCACATCAGGCTTCATATGAAGTAGATGTTTGTACATGTTAGTCAGCGTCAGGCTGGTCTTCAGCTCTCCAGATGTAAACCCATCCTGGTATCAGAACTTTATGTTCAGTCTGACTGGACCTGTTCCTTCTGCATCGGGAACGTTTCCCCAGTGAGGGATCAGTGAAGCTGATCTGATCTGGTGTGAGCGACGCCTCGCCTGAATAAACACCAACAGAACCCGTCCATCGGCTCTGAGCGGATCAGAGTTCTGCTGAAGCTAAAAGGAACCTCCAGACCCTGTGACAGACCGAGGTGCTGTGTTGTTGGTGTTCGTACCGAGCTCCAGTCCGAGCCGACCTCCCAGTGCGAGCAGAGCCGGAGCTGGCAGGCCTGCGTGGACTCTGGGGCGCTGAGGGCGGCGCAGCGCTGAGGGTGGACCATGGTGGACCGGTTCCCAAAGCTCTGCCTGCACTGGAGCTGCCGCTGCTGCACGCCGGCGCCGCAGGACACGCTGCATTCGGACCAGGAGCTGACCTCCCAGCTGAGGAGGAGATCGGAGTCAGAAACAGGTCCAGAACGTTAAAAAAAAAATAAAAAAAATCAGCAAACCAACAGCAGTTCGTTCATCAGCTACACCTGAACTTTTCTACAACATGCAATAACATAGAAAGAGATAAAACAAAGTAGAACCAGAACCTGTTCACTCCTAACGTTCAGACTTCCTTTAAAGAACTCTGGTCTGACTGACTGAGGGCATCTCAAAGCAGAACTAACAATAAAAAGGCCAGTTTGACTTTGGAGACAAACAGCTCGAGCTCACGTTTGGTTTTACTTGTTTAAAAATCACACATCAGCTCTTGTGCAGTAAATTAAACACTTTTTCAGTTTCTGCAGAGCTGAATCTTCATATTTTCTGATTTAGTGAAAAACCGTCGAATTTAGATTTTTTTATTTGAACAATAAGTTTCTAACACGAGTAAATGATGAGTTTATCAGTCTGTCCATCTGCTTCATGGCATTTTGAGCAAAATATTTCTTATTTATTTTTAATGAAACAGAGAAATAGTTTAAATTTATCCTTGAACGTTCATTTATTGTGAGTTTTATCTGAGCAGTAAAATTCTTGCAGCAAATGACACAAACATGTGACCAAAGATGGTAAAATGTTGTTTTAGAGGCATTTCAGTGATGATTTTTTACTGTTTAATAGATAAATAGATAAATAAATCCTCTCATGATGCTGTAGATAAACACAGACGTGGAGACATTCTGTCATTTGAATCTAATTTCCGTCTCTGACCGTCTGTTGTTTTTCATTTCAATCATTTCCAACAAACCTGTTGGTGAAATAAATGAACTAAACATGACAGGAATGAACTCCCTGCACATGAACCGCTGGTCTGAAACATCTCCGTCTACGTGACCTTCAGGGCCGACTACTCACAACGGAGGACAGGGCTGGTTGTTGCAGGACTCCTCCTCTGGAGCCGGTCTGGCTGCAGAGTCACACTTCCTCTCTGGAACTTCTTCGTCTGTGTGTCGGTCGATGCACAGAAGCACTCGGACCTGAGAACCTGCAGACAGAAGGACGGAAACGCTGAGCTGTGTTTTTGTAGTTGCAGGCGACGGCCAGCGGGGGGCGACGTCTCCGTGTCAGAACTCAAAGCTTCCTGTGTGACACATATACGGAGATCTGGGTCACGGCGCTCGCTTGTTTTTCTGACTTTTAAAGGTCATTTATCACCTGCAGGCTGAGTTTCTGTAACTCGTTTGACTCTGACTGACTTCACGGACTGACTTCTTTTGGAGCTTCTTGTGATTCTGTTGGAGATCCTCTGACTGAGAATCTCTTTTTCTTTTCTTGTACATTTTATTTGACCAACATGAACACATGTCTTGTGTCAGTAGGACTCCGTCAGAACGACGGGAATCATTAAAAAATAATCCACATTTTTGAGGGATTATTTATTTTACAAAAATGTAAAAAAAAAAACAAAACTGGATGAAAAACGTCCAACATTTTCCCACAGATGTTCCAACACGGAGGCTCCACTTACTGTAGATGGTTAATTATTAACATTTTTACAACTTCTACAATCCTCTTTATCTTGTTGTAGGACTTCTTCTCCTCCTCTGTTCTCTGGTTCTGATCTGACCCGAACACTGCCTGCAGTTCACCTGAAACTCTCTGAATTTTTGTTACCTGACTGTCGGTCACAGCTGAGTCAACGATGACTTCACAGTTTGACCGAGGAGCTCAGAATTTTTGGTTTTTTACAGAATCTGGATAAAGCAGTCGGTTTATTTTTGGGGAATTTTTAAATGAGCCCAGTAGAATAAAGACTGGAGGTGTGTTGTCGTGGAGCTGCAGGTCGCCAATGAGCAGTTCAAGGACCGTCGGGACGCTTCTGGTTGATAAACGGTGTCAAAACTTTTAAAGATATTATTCCTGTCCAACCTGCTGGCAGCTTTCAGAGCTCAGAGGGTGGACACAGTTTGGTGGTGATCCTTTTCTCCTCGTCCTGTCCAGTAACTCTGGGTTCTGGTGTTTCTTGGAGCACTTCTCCTGGATGTTTGTGACATGACTGCTGATGAGTCACCGATGAGTTCAGGATTGTTTTTCACTCAATCTGTTTATTTTTGGTGAATTTCTGAATTACACATGTAGAGTAAAAACGAGTTTGATGAAACATGAAGATTTAATGTCTAGATTTAGGATATTTTCTGGGTTCAGAACGGCTTCGTGCATCACCGTAGAACTCCTCATAAATCCAGGTGTGATCTGTTTGTACCTTTGCCGCAGGAGGCGGAGCACTCGCTGAGGCCTCCTCTCCTCCACACGAACGGCGGCTGGGTGTCGGGCGGCAGGTCGGTGCGAGGAGGGATCCGAGCGTTCCTATTGGGCGCTGATCCTCGAGGACGAGACCTGTCAGGTGTCCACCGGTCCGAGGAGGAGGAGGAGGAGGAGGAGGAGGGGAAAGAAGGAGCTAAAGCTGGAGGAGCAACAGGAGCAGCCTCCTCCATGGACACAGTCAGAGGACCTGGGAGGAGAAGCATGTCGAAAGGCGATGAGTCAGCGAGGCCGGTGATGTCATGGTGAGGTCAGGGCCTCCTGACAGCCAACATGTGGAGCAGATAGCCTCCATCTGGGTCACGCAAACACTCACAAACATCCCTAATCCCACAGCCGCACCCTTCCTCATCATAAACACATCCATCAGCCCAGAGGACCCTCGCTGCTGCAGCCCGGAAAGAACGAGGCTCCACCTCTGCTGCTTGATTTACGGGTGAATTCAGC